CACATTACTGATTGCATTTGCAATATATTCCCTGAGATGAACACATTTTTCCAGGTTCACATTTTGAAAGTCATCACATTTCTGTGGGTGAAGTGCAAAGCGACACGGGGGAATGACAATTTCCAGACACCAACCTAATTGGGAGTGTTAGAGGCATAATATTTCTAAGACACCACACCCAGGTGAGGCACAGATGTGACAAACAAATGTGAATATCAAGCCCTCATTTTCTGCAGCTCCAGGTCAACAGTTGGCCCTGGATGTCACAGGTTTGGGAGCCGCACAGCTTCCCTCAGATGAAAACATTACACCTGGCCAGTTGTGCGTACCCTCATATTGTAAGTCAGTCAAAAGTGGTCAAGTTTTGTTAAGGATTATCACTGCTGTGCTTAGTGCCTTTTTGCGCCTCCTCACTGTGACTCCCCTCCAGCAGTTTCAGCATTTCCTGTATGACAGCCTGGAGGGCCCTACCCAGATCCTTGCCGCTGTAGGGTTTTGCTAGAGGAGGCACATGGACAAAAGCAGCACGGCCCTTTCCCAGGTGCAGAGATGTGTAGTAAGTGTAGTCACACAGGTACCTGCAAGGGGCCAAAGTAGGTGGATGTTAGAAAAACTTGCACTCTGTAGCAAAAGTCAGGAGGAGGAACTGATGGGAGATGCACTCAAAGTCTGTGTGCCAACTCTGCAGTAATGGACGTATCCCCGACTGCAGTTTGTAGCACCAGCTTTAAGCATTTAAATAGAATAATGTGCACATATGCCTTCATTTTGTGATGAGATAAAACACACACTTATCGGGCCCTTGTTATCAGCTATGGATTCTGTCTGTTGGGCCCGACTGCAGGATTCAGAACAGACGTGTAAACAAAAGCTGTGCAAACACACCGTATGTTTGCTGACTGTATGGTACCGTTTACTTTGAAAGATATCTTATTGTGTTCCTTTGCTACAAAAGGCAGCCACCCATATACGGTGGCTGAACACACCCCGAGTGTGCAGGCGAGTTATTTATGAAACATTTTCAAAAACATCACTAACCTTCCGGCATCCTCAGAAGTGGACACAGTGATGCCAATGCCAGCGTCATTGACCCTTTTACAGATTGTATCCATGTCTAGGATTGATTTTATGCAATCCGGGCCGTTCTCCACGCAGCACTGGGAGGCCGGGCAGAAGCTGCAGTTGTCTGGACGCGTGTAGCCCTTATTATGACCGCACCGTTCAAGAGTGACTGTGGTGGCTAATCCAGAAACACCGACATGCACCACAAGCTGTTCACAGGAAATCAAACAGGAGACACTGGTTCATTTGGGCATTTGCTGTATACTGTGCAAAGGTCTTTTGCTTCCAGCAAGCAAACTTCTCATATTTTAAAGTGCTCTGGAGAACTATTACTCAAGACTTTCTTTGAACATTGACTGCTTTTTCACTTATGAGGCCAACCCTGACCATTTCCTGATTAACTAACTCAGACAACTTGACAAAGCACCACATTTTAAATTTTGGCACTTTGTTTACTAGAGGCCTGTCACAAGAACAATTGTTTCGATTTCTGTATATGCGCTAATGATGACAGCTGACAGGCGGAAAAAGCACTCTTGCACCAACAAGGCGATTCCCACTAGTTCTCCAAATGGTGTGCAAATTTTGAGGACAGTGGAGATGAAAGGGTCAAAGTGGCAGAGCCAAAAACAAGGACTGAAATGATTCGTATACTGTTACTGAAGCCACATCAGAAATAGCTGTCAAGTAACCAGTCTTTGAAATATTTGGTTCAAATCATTCTCAGGGTGGAGAAGGCCAGGAGAGAGGTTCAACAGTGAGAGTCAACAGCCTGTAAAACAGTAGACACTCTGCTATGATTCGAGTCTAATCAAAATTTCAATACCACCTGGAAAGTGTATGGCCACAGTCATGGACTGGCCTCCGCAGAGCAAGGACTGCAACATTTTTGAAACTGTGTGCGATCATCTTGATAAAGACTGGAACAAAAGGCAGCCAACATTCAAAGAAGGAAAATGCTTTGAATGTCCTTCAAGAAACCTGGAGAACTACTCCTGAAGAAATAACAAGAACACTTGCCTAGAAGAGTTCAGGCTGTGTCGAGGATAAAGGTCGTCACGTTAAAACTTTACACTGTTTTTGCCTTACATACTGTGCTTCCACATGTTTCTGTTAAATCACTACACTCATTTCCAGTTTTCCTAACAAAATGTAAAGAAATGAGTGGCTCAAGACTTTTGCATAGCACTACATGCATACAAAACTCCATCTGTAAGATAGTGTGCATTTCTTTGAATACCTGTGGCTGATTCTCTTTCCACAGAGACGGCAGTAGGCGCTTAACAGCCTGGTATTCAACGGGCATCTCACACACATACAGATCTACTGCCTCGCCCAGTCCTAACCGCTCCAGCTCCTGTGAACACACCCAGTGCTTATGTACAAGATAATTGCAATTAGCTTTCCAGGCAATAAACAAACATGAGCACAAAGTGACAGACCCTTTAATCCACAGCTTTGTGCAATATGTATAACAAGCCCTTTGTGAATTTACTAAAGCATTTTTCCATATATGTTCATTACAAATTCACTTAATTTCTTACACTTATTCAATTCAGGGTCATGGTCAAGCTGGAGTATAGCAATTAGAACCCCTGATCTGGCCTGTTAAGTGTAATTGGCCAGTGTATATGGTGTTCTTTTGTATTCATTGGTTGCATTTTATTGAGGCATCCCTTGCTTCAAAGCAGGACTTTCCCAACTTTGGAGATAAATTAAACCGTTTTCTTAATCATTAATCTCTGATTACCTGTACAGCAACCCAGCTGGAGTTCACGGTATGCTCAGCAAATGGCTCAAACCCTGCAGAAAAAACAAATAAAAAAAAAAAAAGAAGAAACAACTAATTAACCACATCTGTGGCGAGGCAAGCAACAGAGACAGAGTGCTTATCTTTAATGGAGAGCAGGTACAGGACTGATGTTAAAAAAAAAGGGACCCTTCATTTAAAGTGTAAAGGTTACTTCAAGTTAAAAATTAATTGCAGTAAAAGCACGTGACACAGTGAAGAGAAACGGGGTGATTTCTTTGCCATTATCAAAGCCAGGAGACAAAAATCCTTTATCCCCGACAGCGACATTACTCTCTGCAGCGCGTTAACTTTGAAAGCAGAGCCATCATCCATTCATGATGTATTCACGACAGCTCAAGTGCAATAGTAACTGTGCAGCTCAGACATAAAGAACTCTGAGATATAACAGCTCTGCAAAAAAAACAAAAAAAAAGACTTGCAGACACACTGTGCCTATCTCCAGTCCGCTGACCAATCAAGAGCTCTCACCTGTGACAACTATTTTCTTCTTACTGGCCATTGTCCTCGGTTAATGTGACTGGAGCTGTGTTAAATGAGCACTAACAAGGATCCCAGGATTGTCTGCGCTTTGTGCTGTCTTCTTCTTATTCACAGCTGAAAGGAAACGGCACACAAGACGTGGATGGATAATACTGCCATCTATTGTTTGGGCATGCATCTCTCTCTCTCTCCGCAGCAGCTCATACTACACATAAACGCGGGGGGGGGGGATCTTGTGGATTATTTTTTCTCCCTTTAATCGGGAAATAAATCAGAGACAGGAGGAAGATGACAACAGTCATTTTTAATGCGTTTTAATGAAAAACAGTGCAATTCGAGCCACGGGAATACTGAAAATGAAAGCCAAGCATCTGTTTTGTATCTATAGATTTAAAGTTAGAGAAGTTTCAGTTGAAAGGAATAACAAACATGAACACCCACTCTATTTATTTATTTTTTTTTTGGGGGGGGTCTTGCCAGTCCCCAAGTCCCCAAGTGAACATTTAACCCCCAACCAGCTGCTCCGGTGGAGCTGCTCAGACGCACGGTGAGTGGTACAAGGTGTTGCAGAACCTTTCTCCCCAGAGAGTCAAAGTCAAAGGACACTTCTCCGTGACTTACACAACCTCTGACACAGCCTGTTTACCTGAGTGTAGAGGACAAGCTTTCTTCTCGGTTTGTTGTTAGAAAGTCACGGCTAATCTAATTTTGCCTTGCAGGAACAGCCCTTCTTTTTTCATTCTCGGTACACTGTGCGGTCCACACCCCTGGGTTGCGAAATGACTCACACATTCTGGACACTGCATCCTGTGTGGCTGGCACAATGAAGAAAATGCGCTCTCCATCGGTGTTGGAAACATTATAAAGTGAATGCTTCACAAGATGTATCTCATTCATGTTACTGGCGCTGTGGCTACAGTCTCCATATCAAACACCCACACGCACAGGACACCTCCACAGACCTCCTACACAACCTGCACTGCAGTCGCTACCCCGCCCCTCCCTCTCTCCTTCTCCCGCCTCAACTCATTCACCTTTCTCTCAGTCTTGCCTGCGTCACTCACCGTGTCTCTGTTGCCACGGAAACTAACGATGCCCTCTCTGCTCTGGTGCTGATGCAGGCGGGCTGTTGACGTCACCGCTGAGCGGTGGGCGGAATAACAATGTTTTGCTCGACCGCAGGGTCTCAACTCGCTGATATACTGTACTGCAAGGATGCTGTATTTGTCTCTCGTACATCTCTCTGTTTATCCCACTCTGCTCTGTGAGGCTGTGAGCGTCTAAAGTACATTCGCCAGCCATATGAGTCATTTCATGCGGGTAAAAAAAAAGAAAAAATAATATTATAATTGCAAAGTAGCTGCACGCATTTTTGTTGAACAAATACATTCGGCTTTGGAGACCTCAGAAAAATACCCTACATAGAGTTTGTTTTCCAGCAGCCACTGATGGACATGTAAGGGCATTAACATTTCCACAAGTTACTTTCAATCACAGTGCACACTGGTTTCCTCCATTTACTTTCAACGTTTCCTTCCCTTTTCTCGTTTATGCTCAGTTTAACCAGGAACACCATGAGACATAATGCCTCATCTTAAGTCTGGTTTATATGAAAGTTAACCGTGATCTCTGAGCCTCTAATCAGGTCTAATCAGAGTGTGATGAATAAATAACGCTGTAATCTGAATTTGAACTTTAACCAACACAACGAGATAGCAAGCCTGCTCTGCTTCCACTTTTCTATTCATTTTCATCTATCAAAAACCTTCTTTTGACTGAGTTGGAGGAACATTTTCAGCAGAGCCTGCTGCGCTCTTCTCCCTTTCCTTGGCCTTCGCCTCTCACACCTTCCCCGCCCAGTCTCTGCTCACTTCTGGCGACCCTGAGCTTTTTTATGCTATGACATCAAACCACAATGCATTGCACTGTTTGGAGTTTACCTAATGTCTCCATGGCGATAAAGGCCGGCTCTGCCCCTTA